TCCCTTCCAGACCAGGACTGGACAGCCCTGCTGCAGACACACCGGCCCTCGAGGACAATCTCAGAAATGCCCACGGGAGGGTACAACAAAATATCAGGGGGTCAGTGCTTTTCTTTCTGCTCAAGTCCAGTTGGTTACATTTCAGCAAACAACTGTGTGAGGGCAGCCCTAACACTACTCAGCGAAGGACTGATATCACTTACAAAACCCATTCAATTTTGTAAGAGATTACCTGTGGGTTGTGGGATCATAGAACAGGTTACCCAGAAATAATTTGGCTATTTCAAGAGACAAAGACATGAAATTCTCAGATCCATTGCTCATAAACTACCAAACAGGCTGTATGTGCTGCACTGCCACACATGGGCATGTCTGATACAATGCTCTTCCCACCAGAGGCCATTTCTTGGGCAGCTTGTTCCATACTCCCACAACCCTCTGTGTAAAGAAGAGACTCCAATCCTGACTATAGGATTTCAGGGTCATAGAGCACAACCTGTTCTTAAGCGGTGCCTCAACTGGTTGAGACGCGATTAAACAGAATTCATTTGTGAATAACTGTTTCAGAGACGGGGTGCCAACACTTTGATCTGCAACCTGTTAGATAGGCAGAACCAACTTACCGCCTACACCTCCTCTCAGTTCTCTCCCTGCGGTCTCCACACAGGCCTGAACTCCCACACAGCGGCTGTTCGCTCCTGACAACCTGGACTCCGATAACTGCAGCCTTAGCTTGAGGGCGTCGTTTTCCTTCATGGTTTGGGCGATCGCCACCTGCAGGTTGGCGAAGCTGCCCTCCACGAGCTTGGTTATTTCATACACCGCTGCCTTGAACAGGATGTCCATGACGGAGGCGAGCTGGGACTGAAAGCCCACCGTGGACTCTGACATACTGCTGCCTGGCTTCACGGATTTTCAGCGTGTCGCAGGGAACTGGCTTTTTCTTTTAGAATCTGTCCGGTTCTCCCCAGAGCAGGAATGAGCCTTATTAGAACTCAGCGGTGCATATGTATCACGTAGATCCAATCTTCTTCGCTGTTCTAATCATCTTTAATTGACCATCTGGACAAAACGAAAAAGCATGTAGTTCTATTCAGTTGCCCTGAAAATAAGGTTTACTTTTAGAATAACAATTTTGAGGAATTAGGTGTTAATCAGCAATTACTTCTTCCTATGATTTTTTTTTTTTACGAATTCCTATGACTTACACTAACGCATGGAGAGGAACCAAAATAAACAAGAAAAGACAGTCTGCTTTGTTTTTTTCTTTGCGGGCAGAAAAATTCACCACAGACATGTTATCTGCCCAAAATAGTATCCCCTTACATATGTCTGTCTCCCACGGAAGCCACACTCACTTATGTGATACCCCAGGGGTACACTTCGTTTTAAAATGACACACGAGTTCATCAGTAATAAGAATAACGCTATTTCAAACCTACCCGACACGTAAACACTAACCAATAAGGTTAACTGCCTTGTACGAAATACGAATTCAATAAGTTTAAAAAATCGCTATGAGAATACCTTATTTAGGCCGTGCGGTTGAAACCGAATCAGGTTCTGTTATTCAGCAGCAGGATCCTTTACCAAGGTGTATCAAGCATTGATTACAATCAAAACAAAGAGACGGACATATTTCGCAGCGCACACCCCGACCAGCTGGTTCCGCTGGTGAAACTAACTCAGCGTCCCGCCGGAAACCCGTGCTGCACACCGAGTTCCACAGCCATCTAACAGCTACAACCACCCGCTATCATTCACATTTTTATCTCGGTCGGAAACATCTAGGGACAAGTTATCCCTGTCCCGTCGTAGGCCAATTTGAATGTGCAGACTGACACTGCACTTGGCAGTTTCCTCTTCTTTTCTATGCTCGGCCCTCTTAAATGTCAGGTGCTCTGGCTGGCCAGTAACACGGGCATAAGGTATTCGCCAGGTTACGTCGTGGAGTCTAACATACAGTTTCAGTTTCAATAACCGCTTAGCGCAATACAAAGCCGTGGTGAGACAGCTTATAACCTAGACGTCAGCAGGCGCAAGGTATGGTGATATAACGGAGGGGATGGAAAACATTTCATTTCGAAATTCTAAATACGAGAAAATTGCAAATTATTTCAATACTGTCTGCCTGGGAAGAGTCTCTGCTCGGCCGGGGAGCGTAGGAGGTCTGGATCGATGCAAAATTCTACTAAAACTCCGTTTACAATTTAAACGTGTCCGGAACGTTTAGTTCGTCTGTAAAAAGAAAATTAAAAACTGCTGGCATGTGCTTACCTGTCGAGTCCAACCAGACTTGGGAACACGCCGATCTCCGCTAAGACTGTATTTGATTTTCTTATACCCTTATTTCACATCCATTTTAACTAGTTTTAGTTGCTAACGTTTAATACGGAGTGTTCATGCTTTCCTATCTTTCACTGGGCTTCAACAAGGTCCTGTCATGATTCTGCAACAGCGAGCAGACCTTCACAATATGTAATTCACTGTTCTTAGCGTGTAATCGACTCCAATACCCAATTTAATTCTAAATACTTTAAGACATGAAAAGGAGGGTATTTTTTATATTTTAGCATTTTGCATTAGTGCCTGTGATCATCCATTTCTTCTGTTACAGTAGAGTTTCACTGAATGTTTTTGTTTCCTCGCAGCTCTCGAACTCAAGACACGTTAAATTGGATTTCCTATCTTCTTAACCGACTGTTAAAATCATCCCTACCCTTTAACCAGCAGCTCTCTCACCCTGCAGCTCAGCAGGTGTGAGCCTGGTCAGTACCTGGATGGGAGACTCCTGGGAAAAACTAAGGCTGCTGCTGGAAGAGGTTTTTAGTGAGGCCAGCAGGGGTCGTTCACCCTGCGGTCCATGTGGGTCCTAATGCCCCAGTATAGTGACGGGGACACTATACTGTAAACAGGTGCCGTCCTTCAGATGAGATGTTAAACCAAGGTCCTGACTCTCTGTGGTCATTAAAAATTCCAGGACATTTCTCAAAGTATAGGGGTCTTAACTGTCCTGGCCAAATTTCTGGCCAGTTTAATAGGCCCCCTAATAATCCTCATCTCTGAACAGGCCTCATCACTCTGTTCTCCTCCCCACTGATAGCTGGTGTGTGGGGAGTGTTCTGGCGCACTATGGCTGCTGTCACATCATCCAGGTGGGGCTGCACACTGGGGGTGGTGGAGGGGATCCCCATTACCTGTAAAGCGCTTGGAGTGGAGTGTCCAGAAAAGTGCTATATAAACATAAGGATTATTGCTTTTCAAATGACAAAAGCGTTATGATTAATCTTTCTTACCTTCTTCCATTTACAGACTTCAGAGCAACTTTCTTTTGCATTTCCTTTTAGTTAGGAGGACAGCTTTTTACCTCCTGCTTGTAAACAACACCGAGGACAACTCCTGTAGCGAGCGTCTGTTGCTTCACATAAGCATATGCCATTCCTTTTGTGGCCAGCAGAGGTCCCTATAATGCTTCCTTTTCACCCATAGGAGAATTTTTTGCCTTTTCCGATTGCAGTAGTCCTACCACTTACAGTCACTTGTTGTCCGTTTGCTATTCCAGTTGACTCAGAAGGACTACATGAAGGGTGACACCGTTCATGTCCTAAATCACATATCATAAAAATATTTTTTGTGATACATCACATCATCAAAACTGGGCAAAATATTTATTTTAACATTGGTTATGGCACAAACACGAACGGCACCTGTTCAAAGCATTATCTCAAAGGAATTAACAATGTCACCTCAGCATATTAATTGGTGATTTAAAGAAAGCCACATCTGGTTGTACTTGCAAAATCAATTGCAGCAGCATGCAGAAACATCTCTAAATCCCAATTCACAGGGATGGAACTCGGTCATTGTGATCCCTTAACTAAGGTTATTCATCTATGTACCTTGTGTCCAGGCCTTAAGGACAACGTTTACACAAAGATGCACCACCTCTGAAATACTGCCCAGCAAAGACCCCTTTTCTGCTGCAGAGAAAGTCTGACAACCTTTATCACATCCAGAACTGCTTATTGTAACATCTTGCTCGCAACCCTAATAAAGTTGCAACATATAAAATATGTCTAATGGAGTTTTAACTAAAAGCAGATGAAACCATATTGAGTCTGCCCCAGCTAACTGTACCTGTGCTAGTTACCTGTTCAGTTTAGGACTGACTATAAGGTTCCAAAACCAGGAACAGGAGGCATTTCTTTGCACAAACCGTTATGGGAGTAATGATTTTATTAATTCAGGAGTTGGAGAACATACTGTATTGATACAATGACCATATAGAATTATTTATAGGGATATATAACTCCTTTAACACAAGATACATTTTGTAGTGCCAAGCTTTTAAATAACGACATTTTCTAGATGTGCCGGATCATTGTTAAACTAAACAGTACGTTTTACACTTTCCAAGGTACTGTATCAGATATTAATTCTAAGACTGAACGTCTGTTGACAGATTCTACATCACTAATAAGGGAATTCTCATTAATTCAGAATTGCAGGGTGGAGAATATATGCTACAGAGGATGAAAGGAAAAGCAATTAACATGGTTCAGTGAATTAGGAAGAATAAAAAAAATATTCAAACGTTTTTTAAATAAGAAAAGTGGAAAAGTGACTCTTCCCTTCTATTTGATTATTAGAATCAAAGAAAGAATTAAAAAACAATTTGTTTTCTGATACCAAATTCACAAATATGTTTTAGACAGAATCATTTATGATGGAGAGTATAAGACACAGTACAGTCAGAATGATTCATTCCCCATGCTCTGTTCTTCCTGGACTCAACTTTTTCCTCTTGCCCAAATGTCATTGAAATAAATACCTTTGTACAACCGTGAACAGGGAGAAAAAAGTGTTATTAACAGGTTTGCTACTTTGCTCTTTAGGTAAAGAACTTGTGAGGAAATAGAGCCACCAACAGAGAGACATTCTGAATGAAAATAACAGTTTGGTGTCAGCAAAACATCTCATTTCTGCACACTTTCCTGAACATAAATAAAACAGAATTATTCTCAAAGGTGTAAGAATCAAATGTATATTGGAAACTGTTATTTCACAGTGATGGGGAGAGAGGGAAGACTCAAAAAGCTCTAGAACAAAGAAAGTGGGGAATAAGTTCTTTTAAAAATTATTTGTTGCTTGGAGAAGCACTTCTTTGGACAAAAATGCTATGCGAATGTATAATTACAAGCCACTACTATCAATTAAACAATCCCAGCTACAATATCCTTAAAATTTAGTATTGTTATTACTGGGGTGCTGACAAAAATAATTTTACAGGAATGCTTGTAAATGTTTTGGTAAACAAAGTTTGGATTTTTTGATTGTGTAGGGCTGTAGGTTCTATTTATTAAATGTTTAATAATTATTTATTTTTTAGATTAATTTTTATATACTTTTCTTTTAAACTTTAACTATTTGGATACCTTTTATGTAAAATCTCTGAACACTTGGGACTTAGATCTGTAAAAAGATTAAGACACTGCCAGCAGTTCTTCACTCCTTTATAGTAGAAGTAGCACATTTACCAGTAGTCTGAGTTTTGGAGGGGATCCTCATTACCTGTAAAGCGCTTTGAGTGGAGTGTCCAGAAAAGCGCTATGTAAGTGCAAACAATTATTATTATTATACAGCAGATCTGGACGTCCAATGTACTTATTCATGATTCAATCTGGATGAGAGAAGGGCAGAGTGGGATGAAACCAAGCTGAAGGTTGTTAACCACAGCTTTAAAATTAGCAGCACAGAAGAGGAGGATCGCAAAACGAATCTAGTGAGTGAGTCAGCCTCTCCCGGCCTCCTGCCCAAGTACCCACCGCCCAGCAGCAAGAGCTCACGTAGTCTTGTTTTTATACTGCAACAAGCACTCCAGGTCCTATATCAACAGTGTAGGGAATGAGAAGCTAGAGACTACTTTACAAACTTAACTGACAGCTTTCTTGTCCTGTTTCATTACAGCGGGGTGTGCTAATCACAGATATAGAGACAGAAAGTGTAGGCTGGTCACAGAGGAGGAATTCATGATGTTTATTTGAACTATTATAAAGTTGTGTTTCTTTTAGTTAATCAATGTTATATAAATTAATATTTATATTAATTTAATAATCTTATTAATATTAATATAGCCTTAGTTACTTATGCCTTTTAACCATACATACTATATACTGTAGTGCATTTGGCTATGGTAGAGGAGTGGACTTGGTTATTGGCAACATTTCTCTGCATCTAATCCTCTTAAGTGTTGACATCCTACTGTATTTTTTACTCATCATTTTCTATTGATATATACAGTACACTGCTGTAATTTGCAGAAGCGTTCTCCAGCTACGACAGTCGCATTGATCAGCTGTTCACATGTGAGCGCAGCCTGTGAATCCGCTGGTGTGTCCTCAGGCTGCCAGAGACCCGGAAACTCTTCCCACACTGGGCACAGACATACGGCCTCTCTCCCGTGTGGATCCGCTCGTGTCTTTTCAGGTCCCCAGAATGACTGAAATTCCTTCCACACAGAGCGCAGTCGTAGGGCCTCTCTCCTGTGTGGATCCGCAGGTGCGTCTTGAGATTATCGGAGCGATTGAAACTTTTCCCGCATTGGAGGCAGCGGTGGGATCGCTCTCCTGTGTGAATGCGCTGGTGGGATTTCAGATCGGCCGCGTGGCAGAAGTTCTTCCCGCACTGGGAGCAGTTGTAGGGCCTCTCTCCCCTGTGAACCCGCTGGTGTCTCTCCAGGTTTTCCGAGTTGCTGAAACTCTTCCCGCACTGGGTGCAGCAGTGTGGCGTCTCCCCGGTGTGGAGCCGCTGGTGGGTTTTGAGGCTGCCCAGGTAGGTGAAGCTCTGCCCACACAGAGAGCAGCAGTGAGGCCTCTCGCCCGTGTGGATTCGCATGTGTGTCTTCAGGTTATCGGAGCGACTGAATCGCTTCCCACAGTAGGTGCAGCAGTGAGGCCTCTGCCCGCTGTGGGTGAGCTGGTGGACCTTGAAGTTCCAGGTGGTACAGAAACTCTTGCCGCACTGCTCGCACTGGAAGTAGTCCTGATTTTCTGCCCTCTCGCTCACCCCGCCGAGGGCATGGTTCAACTCCGTTCTGCTCTCTTCGCCGCCTGCGGGACGTCGCCCCGTCTCATCTCCAAAGTGGACAGAACCCTGCCCCTTGCCCTCGGCACTTATGTAGAGAGGTCCCAATGCAGCAGTGGTCTGCTCCTCAGTGTGAACTGACCGGAGCTCATTTTCCTCCTTGACCCCAATGGGATCCAGAGGTTCGTCCACGTTCCATCTGTGCTCCCGTGATCCGTTTGGCGGGCCCCGACTGTATTGCCCCGGTTGGGTGGGATCTAGCTCTACCTTCTTGCCTTCGCTGCGTGCAAGCCCCTGCTCAGCCTCCTGTTTAACGCAGGCAGACCGCCAGCCTTCCCCCTCCAGGTTTATGTAGGGGGCCCCCAACAGGGGTTCGAGTAACTTATCGTTGCCTTTCGTATGAAATGACGGGGGCTCAGCGTCTCGTTCCACATTGTCAATTATATTCTGTTCTTCTTTAACGTATACCGCTGCTAAGCCAGTACTGGTTCCATTGGCACTTTCGGCGATATTCTCAGGGCTTACTCTATCGAGCCTCTCTGTGCTGTAGCCAGACACCGCTGGACTGTCCCGGTGTGTGATATGCCCGGATCCCGGCACCCTCACACGCTGCCCGGACCCGTGCTGCTCGGCGGGATCTTCGTTTCCTTCCGCATGTTTTAAATCGCTGTCCTGCCACCAGCTGCAGCCCCACTCCTCTTCATAGTCCAGCTGCACAACGGGACCCCTTTCTTTAGTGTGGAGGAGAGAGCCAGACGCTTCTGGGGAAAAAGACCAGACACGCGAGTCAACGTCTTTCTGAGAATTCTCCTTCCTGGATCGGATGAGCTTATCAGAACTTGGAAAAGAAGCAGTGAAAATAAAAATGAGGGTTAAATCACAGCCCTTATAAATTTTAAATGTGTAATGATAGTGCCCAAAACCCTCAGTACACTGATCTGTACACTACAGCCAAAAATTATTTTAAGTTTCTTATTTTACATCTGTCAAAATACAGAAAACAGCACAAAACACTTACCACAACACAACTAAAAACGACTCAAAATAAGAGGAACATTTTAAACTGTTAAATTGTCTGGTTTGCAATAAGTCTGCCTACTCCAAAGGCAGATTGTGTTATTCGCTCTGCAGAAAGGGTCAGTGGTGTCACCTGCCCTCCACTGGTGATTTGTGAAATTACAGGGCAAAGAAGAGGTCAAGAAAAAGAAGTTCATGTGGGTAGCTGCATCAGGAACAAGTAAAGGTTTATTCCACGCTGAAAAGAGAAGAAAGAAAACACAACGTTTCGGCTGTGGAGCCTTCTTCGGGTGTCACCACAGGCTCCACAGGCTCTACAGCCAAAACATTGTGTTTTCTTTCTGCTCTTTTTAGAGGGCTGGAAAGATTGCCAATGACTCCTTCCACCCAGGGCTCCACCACTGTTTCACAGACTTCCTGTAGAAAGACTGGGCATCTCTCGATGGATTCACTGTGAGTTCGCCCCAGCATTTTCCCAGGAGCCACCAGTACTTGGCAGGCATGGGAATCAGCCAGCCAACTCCCAAAATACAGTCTGGAGCTGTGCCTTTTCCGCAACAAGCAGTAGGAATCTCCAGGAACCTGCTACTTAATCATGTGACTCACACCAACTAGCTGAGATCCTTCAAGAAATGACTGGATGATGTTCGTATTAATTACTCTGACAGCAATATAGCTAAATGTAAAGGAGGAAAAGTAAATGTTTCTCTTCTCTTTTATGACCCTAACGTTCTGTAACGCAACGAAACGTTCCATATCAACACTTATTAATACCCACAAGAAATCTGCTGTCCAAGACGAAGTCCAAACCACAATGAAAGTGCAAAGTATGCAGTTACATGTAAAACCTCTAATTTACCTCACAAAACGACTACATTTCCAGGTAAGCACAGCGCCATATTGCCGTCATTGTCCAAGATTCAGACCGAGGAAACAAAACTTCCAAGTGATGTGAAGCGGTCCTGTGACATTGCGAACACATCTCTTTTTATCTACTTCAAGACAGTTTTGCCGACAAATACTACTTGTTAACTCAAGTTAACTGCAGTTAACTGCATGCCGATCACAGTGGAACATTTCTGAGGTGAAATGTCTGCTTCCCAACCTGTACTTACTTCACTTGTCCAGCACACTACTTTAGTCATAACAGTACAGAAAAGGCCAATTTATGCCACAATTCTCCCTCTCCCTCTCGCCTATGGCAAGACCAGCAGTTTGCGACAACATGGCGACCATACAAAGTTCACAAAGTTCATCATTTTGTGCTCGAGTTGGAATTAGTAAAAAAAAAAATTGATACTGTCAATTAATTTATTTTCCCACAGAGATTTAATAACCGGTCTGAGAAATTTAAACTGCAGTTCCCCTTTAATGCTAGCTGGAGCCTACCCTCACCCAAAAACAAATTAAGATTTTAATGTGAAACCTTGGTTAAATTGGTACTTTTTCTTAATTACCAATACATCATATGCCCATATGGTAATATTGTGCCAATATTCTTAAGTGCCAATTAATATAGTCTTAATAACAATATTACAATGCACCCTCCAAACCTTTTTAATTGCAATGTTACGTTTTTATTATGGAATTATTCTTTGGAGTTAGCCAAGCAATTAATGATGAACAAGTAGAGACACAGGAGATTTCTCTGGTGCTCAACACTTACTCTTCAGATCAATCACCAGTCCTTTCTGCAGAGTACCGACAGCCTTGTCCTCTCCAGATCTCTCCTCTTTGATGAGAAGTGTTTCAGGCCTGTTCTCTTCCAGGTTAGTTGTCTGTAACACAGGATTGTGAGCTAAGAGAGTCTGAGTGGACACTTGATATACTGTATGGTACAATAACTATGCAACCATATATCCAACCTGTCTAAAAAACATCATAATGCAAGGCAGAATCAAGTCAGGATCAGTACTCACTTTCATTTGGACAGTTGCCATCAAGCTCTAGAGTCTCCTGGTGTCCACTCACATCACATCACATCTCCAGCCACTTTAATGACACACTGCAGTCCAGAGTCTCCTGGTGTCCACTCACATCTCCAGCCTCTTTAACAACACACTGCAGTCCAGAGTCTCCTGGTGTCCACTCACA